AAATGAATTTCTTAATTACTTCCCAGTGTTATGCCTGTCATGGGCACACTGTCTAAAATATTTTCAGTCGTATAAAAATTCTCAAACCCAGTGAATAGAGCTAATTATTACATCTAAGTATTACTAAATATGTACCCTCATCAGCTGCAAAAGCAAATGTCACAATGTTTAAGACTTTTTTCACACAACTTTTCTTTTTAATTTCCTAACCATATTTCTAGTACATTAAACAACAGTGTTTCTGATTACACTTACATTCGCACATACTTATATCTTTTCAGGACCCATGATTTCCATCACATTCAGTAGACACTCTTTTACAACTTGCTATCTGTGAAGAATGTCATGTCCTGGGCAGATTTTTCACTTAAATATATAAATACTTATTTTATTAATAACCAAAACAAATCTTGTTGACTCTTCTGTTCTCTTTGCAGCTCATTGGATTTGATCACATCTTTTCCACATCCCTGGTCTTTGTACTTATGGTGGTTTGCTTCATAATGGCATCATAATGGCTGTTCTCGTACATTTCATCCTTTGCCAAATAAGCACATAGGAATGGTCTTCAGTTTACAAAGCGTAAACCTATGACTCTCTACATCTATGTTCTTCTTCCTCCTTTTCATAGAGATATGAGAAATATTTGCTTTTCTAACACTATACAGTAGAAGTGACTCTCACAAGGCAAAAACTGTTCTTGCAAAATATTGTAAGTGTTCTCTGTAATTCAACCTTTGGATCTGATCTCCCTCTACCTGATGGAAGGACATGTTCTCAGTCTTGTCTAGGAAGTCATTCAGTCACTTCCACAGCCATGGTGAGTGGCAGGGTTCCTGTTGTCCCAGAATTGGCCTTAGAGCCCACACCATAAACCATGCGGGTAAGTACCCCTCGCCCACAGTGGTTCTCAACCCTCCCCTGCTCCCACTGGCATTGCAATGGGGAGCTTTGGAGATGCCAATGCTTAGCTTTTCTCCAGAACAATTACTTGGAATCTCTGAGGAGGGGACATGGGTATGGATGTTTTTTAAAGCCCCGCAGTGTTAATTCAGGCAATTCTGGTATATACACAAGGTTGAGAAGCACAGATCTAAAGCAGGCAGCCAAGAATGGGGCTAGATACTGACCTGCAAAGCTTAGCAAGAGGTGGCAATACCAGCCCTACTGTAACCAGTGGCAGCCCGCCATCTACGCCTAGACTTATCAAACTAGGAGGGAGGAGTGACTGGTGCTGCCACAGAGCCCTCTAGAACTCCCACGTGCTCCTCACGCAACAGCCAGTACATGATGCCTGGCCCCCCAGAGGCACACATGGCCAGATGGTGTCAGGACAGCAGTAGCAGCCACAAGAGGATGCATTTCCCTCAGCAGCCAGTAAATTAAAAGAGATAAAATAAACCTGCCACCTCTCCCACAGCAGCATCCTGGAAGAAGAAGAGAAAGAGACAGGTGTCCCAGACCCATCTGGTCCCCCTCCAATCCAAGCAGATGGGGTCTCAGCTCAAACTGTGCTTGGGTCAAAGGGAGATGGTAAAGGTTTAACCCACACATGAAGCCAAACTGGATCGAATATTAATAACCAAAAAAGACTAGAAAAGATGAAACATGCCCAAGATGTCACTGTGGGATGGGAAAGGGAGAGTGGGCAGCACAGAGCTGGACACTATGATTGAAGGAAAGAATCTTGGTCAAGTTCATCCTGCTCCATGAGTTCACACGGCTTTATAACCCAACTATATTTTAGTGAATGTCTCATTCATGCCAGGCTGAAACACTGTGAGTACAAGATTTTCTCAGGATTTCTCCTTCCTGTCCTCCAGGGGGTGACATCCATGTTCAGTGGGCACGGAGGGAGGTGGGGAGTGGGGAGCCTCTGTCCTTGCATTGGTTTCATCTGAACCCAAGCTTGCAAAGCCTCCTGGCTACGACCACCACACCCCTTTGGAATCCATTAACCCCCTCAGCAAATTTCCAAAGCCTTTGTGTGAACACAAGGAAGATGGAGCGGCTGTCTCAAGTGTGCCTGGTGAGACTCAGGAGCAATCCTGCAGCCCCACTCTGCCTTTGCCACCCCATGCAGCCCCGTGGTGTGCCCCATACGAGGCAGGATGTGGGGTCCTCTTCATGGAGATACTCACATACTCCAGCTCGTCCCTGCGCTTCTCATCCCTCCCCACCTGGGAAAGCATCCTAGTCTGCATGGCAGTGCTTGGGAGAGAAGTGAGAGGAAAAGCTTCCCCTAATCACATATTCTTCCAAATCTGATGTATCCTATACCTGCACCAAAGTTTTTGAACCCAATAGCCAAGAATGTGAAACCTTTGGTGTTTGGTTCCCGCATGAGAGTTTCCCTAGAATAAAGGAGACTCCATTCTAGGAGTCTAGAATGATCATGGATTAAAAAATGAATTGGCCCCACATCCCCATTAATATGGCACCTGCTCACCAGCCCCCCACTGCTCTTGCCTATTAAGACCAGAGAAAAATGTGAAAGAACACCAACAGAAGATGATACCAGAACAGCGGAAATCAATTATGTGCAAGAAATTCAGGGAGATATTATTTATCACAGACATATAAGTGGAAACAAAATACACAAAAAGATGAGTTTGCTGCATGGGAATTTGTGAAAGCTGCTGATAAATACTACTATTTTTTTAAAAGATTTATTTATTTTAGGGGCGCCTGGGTGGCTCAGTCATTAAGCATCTGCCTTCGGCTCAGGTCATGCTCCCAGGGTCCTGGGATCGAGCCCCTCATCAGGCTCCCTGCTCAGCGGGAAGCCTGCTTCTTCCTCTGCCACTCCCCCTGCTTGTGTTCCCTCTCTAGCTGTGTCTCTCTGTGTCAAATAAATAAATAAATAAATAAATAAATAAATAAATAAATAAGTGTCTTTAAAGATTTATTTATTTTAAAGCATGAGAGAGAGAGAGAGAGAGAGAGAGAGAGAGAGAGAGAGAGAGAGAGAATGAGTGGGGAAGGGGCAGAGGGAGAGGGAGAGAATCTCAAGCAGCCCCGATAAGCATAGAGGCCAACACAAGGCTCAATCTACAACCCTGAGATCATGACCTGAGCAGAAATCAAGAGTCCAACACTTAACCAACTGAGCCACCCAGGCGCCCCAATACTACTCTCTATTAGTAGAAGTAACAGAAGTTGATTCTTACTGGATATGTAGAACTTGTCAAGGAGTCTTTTTGTTTCCTGTTCCTGGTTATTGTGAGTAAAGCTGCTACAAACATTCTTATACAAGTCTTTGTGTTTACATGAGCTTTAATTTCTTTAAACAATGTCTTCATAATTTTGCAATATATTGCTTTTTCTGGTGCTATTTTTACACAAATATAATTTAATAATAAAAAGCAATTTTATAACAAAAATAAATCCCTGACTTTGATTTGAAACAAAATTAATTTGGGGGTGGAGAAACGTATTTTCACCATCTCTGTACTTTTATTATATAAGTTACAGCCGGGCAGGGGTGTCAGGGTGGCTCAGTCAGTTAAGTGCCCTACTCTTGACTTCTGCTCAGGTCCTGATCCTCAGGGTTGTGAGATCGAGCCCCGTGTTGGACTCTGCACTCAGTGGGGAATCTGCTTGTGATTCTCTGTCTCCCTCTCCCTCTGCCCCCCTCCCACCCCTGCTCATGTTCTCTCTCTCTCTCTCCCTCTCTCTAAAAGAAATGATTTTTTTTTTTTAAGTTATAACAGGGCCATCACACTGGCAGGAAGCCTCATGGTCAGGAAGACGCTAGGAGTTATTGGACACTGTGACAAACTGAAAAGTGCACACATACCTTGTTTTAAATGCGCAGCCACTATTCCACTTCAACCAATTCACCATGCAGCCCCCAAATTGCCCAATCTTCTAATTTTTCAAGGGCAGATTTTTTTTGTGCATATACACAATCTCCTAAATTTAAATGTTGACCAATAAGAAGTATTAAGCACTGGTGGGCTAATGCTATCCAGGATTAGGCTGTACAAGATAAAACACAACACAAGCCAGATTTGGCCTAAGACTCATTAGTCTCTAGCTCAGATTTTGGTTCTCAATCTGGCTATGAGCAATGAACTTTTAGCTTTTTAAAAATACAACTTGCCTGGGCCCTATCTCAGATCCGGAATGAGTCCTGGACATCTGCATATTGTTTGAAATGCTAGAGTTCATTGTGTTTCACAGTCAGTGTGAAGAAATAGGGAATTAAATTTCAAGTTAACAGTGTTTGGTCACATGTCCAACTTCAGCACTGTATTTAGAACACCCTGTGGCTTTCCCAGGCTAATTCTACCCGTTTCAGAGTTCAAACACTGATGTGCACATCAGTAAAGTATAATAATGAAACTGTCACAGGCAGTTTTTCTCATCTCTAATTAACCCAAATGGCATCAAGTTTTGGCTCTTCTGTGTTTGGGGGCAGTATAATAGCTGACCTTTGTGGAGGAAACTTGATTCTAAGTAAAAATGTTCATATACGAGTTGATAGGAATTTCTTATTCATAAACACGCTCACCATAGGATAAAAACATCTCCACAAATAAGGGAGAAAAGAAAAGAAGCAGGAGAAGGCAGATCAAAGGAGTTGTTGCATTTTTACAGACAATTTAGCAGGTAACAGGTCTTGTGAGATGAGTATGAAGTCATGGGGACAGTTAAGATTCCTAACCTGGGACTCTTGCCTGTCAGGTGAATATGGGCTTAAAGTAAATAAGGTAGAAAGATGCTGTGATAGGAACCTCTCTCAATTTTTTTCCAATGAGCTCCTGCAAGCCTGAGGCAAATGGGTGTTTATGAAAAATGGAGACAGCCAGTAACAAGACCCTTTCATCATTTGCATTTCAAGCCTCTGATTTTAGTCACGTGGCAAGCAAATGAAGAAAAGTTGGAAATAACCATTAACTAAGGGAAAAATTACAGTAACATTGAGTGAGGGTCTGAAGGTTGCAGGGCAGGTATCAGTTCTTGGCATGGAAACCTGAAAGTCAGGGCCAAAGAGAATGGCCACTGTGAGCACAGATGCCACGGATAGAGACACATCCAGGTTTAAAATCGTCCTCACCTTCGTGGCCTCCGGAATAGAGTGCATCACTGGCATTGTTGGGAATGGCTTCATCATGGCCATCCACGGGGCCGAGTGGGACAGAGGCAAAAGACTCCCTGTCAGTGACTGCATTCTGCTGATGCTCAGCTTTTCCAGGCTCTTGCTGCAGATCTGGATGATGCTGGAGAATACTTACAGTCTACTGTTCCGGGTCACTTATAACCAAAACACAGTGTTTATCCTCTTCAAAGTCGTCATCATGTTTCTGAACTATTTCAACCTCTGGCTTGCTGCCTGGCTCAACATCTTATATTGTCTTAGAGTTGCAAACTTTGCTCACCCTTTGTTCTTCTTGTTGAAGAGGAAAATCACAGGGCTGCTGCCTTGGCTTCTGGGACTGTCACTGTTCATCTCCTTATGCTTCAGCTTTCCCTTCTCTACAAATATCCTCAATGTGTATGTAAATAATTCCATTCCCATCCCCTGCTCCAACACCACGGAGAAGTACTTCTCTGAGACCACCTGGTTCTTCTCTATAACCTGGGGATCTTCATTCCTCTGATCATGTTCATCCTTTCAGCCACCCTGCTGATCATCTCTCTCAAGAGACACACCCTCCACATGGAGAGCAATGCCCCTGGCTCCAGCATGGAGGCTCACATGGGGGCCATCAAAGTTACCAGCTGCTTTCTCGTTCTCTACATTTTCAATGCAGTTGCTCTATTTATTTCCATGTCCAACATCCTCGACGTCAACAGTTCCTGGAATATTGTGTGCAAAATCGTCATGGCTGCTTACCCGGCTGGCCACTCAGTGCTACTGATCTTAGGGAACCCTGGGCTGAGAAGAGCCTGGAAGAGGTTTCAGCACCCTGTTCATCTTCACCTGTAAGAGCAGACTCCGTGACTGGAACCCAGAGAACCACCGGACCTGGTTCAACCAGTTCTGCCTTTCCCCATCTAGACCTTTCTCCTCACCCATCTTTTCAGCCCTAATCTTGCTCTGATACTTCTCCTCAGGTAACTGGGCCCTTTCATGAATGGGATGCTGAATTTTTAATGTGAGTTCTAAGCAAAAGTAGTTAAGCAACTCTAAGATGGATCTGTGAAAGTTTCTCCATCTATGCTCATTCATCTCCTGCCCTGAGCCCTCCCTACGTCCTCCTCCCCTGAACCTGAAGGAGAGGATGGCCAGACATCTCTGTTTGCCTGGGATGATCTCAGTTTGTGCCTGTGGTCACTGAGCACCCTTTAATTCTCAAGGATATCTTGGTCTGGATGAAAAATTACATGGTCACCCTACTTAAGACACTCTCCTAACCCACAGGAGGGCTAGTGATGAGCATAGAGGGCAGTCCAAGAGGTAGAAGGGAACCTGGAATACCCACAGGGAAACAGGGATTCTGGAAAGAAAGGCTGGCCGGAAGTACCAAGTGCCACAGAGGTTTCAAGAATGGAGGCCGCATACACTATTAGTGGCGTGACAGGTGGCATTCAGAATGCAGAAGTTTCCAGAGAAGGTGAGGAAAACAGGAGTTTGTAAAGACCAATAATTTCAGGACATTGTCTGAAAAGAAACATGAAGTACAGGGTGGCAGGTGGGATGAGTGGGTGGTCAACTGAATGCTTCATTTTTCCAAATGGTGGGAGAATGAAGGGAAAAGAGAGGACGGAGGGCTAGAGCGGTGTGCGCGGCCACACAGAGAAAACAGGCGGAGTCCAGAGTAGAGGGACAGCTATTTTGCTGTGCTCCTGAGTCTGTGGCAATGCAAATGTGTCTGCCTCTGGCGTTGTCAATTCTAGGTCTCCTTGAGGCGACCGGAGCTGCACAGGCAGGTGACCAGGGAGGGGCTGTTTGAAAAGAAGGAAAACGTCACACTCTACGGTCACTCTTCAGAATGACGGCATCCGCGCTGCCTCAAAGGGCTGTGCACAAAATAAGACACCCCACTCCTAGATATCTTGGAACCAGAAAGTTAGGAATTTAGGATTTTCTTGTATTTGGTGTTTTTAAAATCAGAATTACTGAGGAAAATGTGAAAAGAAGGCTTCTGATCATACCAAGGCTCCCAAATGAAAATGTAAGATCAGTAGCAAAGACTAAATGCCGAGCGTCTGGGCTCTCAAGCACATTTTTCCGAGACAGTCCCTTATATCTGTGAACAGTAAAAAAAATCACACACACACACACACACACACACACACACACACACGTACATCTCTTTAAAATTCCAACAGCATGGGATTTATTCAACTAGAAGGGAAAAGATTCATGAAAATGCACATTTTTCATATTTTCCTAACTGACATTTATTTCTGTAACTATTTAATGCTGGTTTGGTTGTTATGATAAAACAAATCAGATTCTGAAGTGTCATTCCAGCTCCTAAAGAATAGAGAAATATACTTCTTTCCCAATAATACATGCATACCTATCCCTGAAAAACAGAGAAAAACAGAAAATTGATTTAGAGCCACCAGGTGATTAATATGAACAATGCCAAGATAACAAACTATATAATCCCTCCCCATGCTTATTATGAAGAACTATTGTGTCATTGGTTGCAAAAGACAAAAGCAGCAGAGAGCTAACAAGAGCTTCAAGGATGGTGGGGTCAGTACTGTAGTTGTCCTACCTTCAACCAGATAAAGCTCCCTCCAGTTCTCCCTCCCTCCCTCCCTCCCTGCTTGCTTGCTTGCTTGCTTCCTTCCTTCTTTTCTTTTTCTTTCTTTCTGTACAACCCACTAAATTTCCATAATGGGCCAAAACACCCTATCTTCAAATTGGTTGGCTTTAAACAGAAATCAGAAGTCCTGGGAAGCCTGGCTCAGTTGGTTAAGCATCTGCCTTCAGCTCAGGTCATGATCCCAGGGTGCTGGCACTGAGCCCCACATGGGGCTCCCTACTCAGCGGGGAGTCTGCTTCTCCCTCTCCCCCTGACCCTCCTCCCCCTGCTCATGCTCTCTGTCTCTCTCAGAGGGAGAAGCAGACTCCCCTCTGAGCAGGGAGCCCGATGCGGGACTCGATCCTGAGACTTCAGGATCATGACCTGAGCCAAAGGCAGTCGCTTAACCAACTGAGCCACCCAGGTGCCCCAATAAAATCTTTAAAAAGAAAAAGAAAAGAAATCAGAAGTCCTAAAGGATCTGCTTTGCAAGCTCTACATGACAGCCCTGTGCCCTGAGAGAGGTTTGAAAGCTATGGTGTAAAGAGTCCCTTTACCCACAAAGTTACTTTGGATATTCATCCGCCATGTGGAGCAGCAGGGAGACTTTGGTTGTCACGGGACTCCCATGTGGAAGGCCCAGTACCGGGTGGGGTGTCACAAACCTGGCAGAGTCCAGAAGGAAGACTAGAGTAGCAGCCAAAGCCAATCTAAGAGCTGAGATTTGAGAGGCACGGAATTGTCCCACAATCCTTCACGACCTTTGCCTTCTAAGGCCTCAGCGTCTGCTAATTCCACTGTGGTTCCTGCTTTTCTGGGAGTGGACTCCACAGGAATTCTCTTGTATTTTTCTCTCACACATTCTTTACTTTGGGCTGCTAGGGCAGAAACTTCTACTGAACAAGGAAAAAGGAACTACACATTCAATCAAGCAATGTCTTGAGTTGGGGGAGGACAGCAGAAACCAAGAGGAGAAATCTGGAGCAATCATGGCAGAACGGGAAGGGAGGGATGCTGAAAGTCCCATTCGACTCCTGTTTCCCTCTTCCCTCTGGACAGAGTGGACTCCTTAGAAGAGAGGCGGGAGGAATGGAAATTCCTTACACGCTCAGAAAGGTTGGTTTGTGGGAGAAGGAGGAAGGATAAACAAACTGGGGCGCCAGTCCTTAGTGCTGGAAGGCTGAGGGAGCTCTCAGGACCCCTTCGTTAGACTGGGGACAGGTTGCCTCAGATAGCAGAGATGACAGTCAGAGGAAAATGCTCATCTCCATGGCCTTTGAGGAGAGGTAACATGTTATGTGGTTAGAAACTTCTATTGGTAGAAGCAGGACAGAAGCATTTTAGAGCCTGGAACTTGGCCCAGGGCAGGCCGGGGCAGAAAAGAGCAGGGGGCAGCACAAGAGGTGTGGGGTGGACAGCCGGAGCAGAAGCATCGGGAAAGGGAAGGGGTGAAGGTGCTGAGTGCTTGGCCAGGCTCAGCTGGGAGAAGCACTCTCCTTACGGCTCCTGCCTGGCCCTTGGGGGTGATCCCTGCAAGAACAGAAGGTCTTCCAAGAGCTTTCCAGAGGGACATTTCTGGGCGGGGCCCTTCACTGTTCAGTGCACTGTACTGCGCAGGTGCTCTGTGTCTCTGAAGCTACCTATCAACCAGCCTCACTGAGGGGGAGATGGATTTTTTGTGAAGTTTCTTGCTTGTCTCTCATTTGGTTTTCCTTATTTTTTTTTTTAGCAAAGTGTCTTATAAATGTTCTGTCCTCGCTCAGTTGTGTCAGGAGAAAATAAGAGAAAGGTGATTTTGGAAACAGTTGAAAAGAAAAAGAATCAACAATTCCCTGGGTTGGGTTGGGTCGGGTTGGGTTCAGCTGTGGGAGCAGCCGTGAAGGCGATCCAAGGAAAGAATTCCAAGGTGGACCATTCCTGGGAAAATCTTGCCTTAGGACAGCTGCCCCCTCCCCTCCCGCCATGCAGTTCCTGGAGTCACAGTGACTTCAGTTTGGGTCTGGGCTCTGCTACTTTCTGGTGTTTGATGCAGGCATGTTATTGCACCTTTCTGAACCTCAGTGTCTATATCTGTCAAATGGGAATAATGATAATAATACCTCCCTCCTAGGGTTATCTATCTAACCCTAAGAAATGAGTGAGATAAAACACAGCATAAGCTTTCAACAAATAGTAGCTGTTACTATTCTAAAGGGAAGGAATGCAAGGCTGAGAGGCCAGGAGTCTAGAATGAGGATACTTAGAGCAGGCCAGATGTGAAAAGGCCCAGATTGGGCGGGAGGCGCACAGAGGGCTTAGGCTGTCCCACAGACTTCAGGGGCAAAACGTGGCGCAATCCACAGCAGCTCATCATCCCGAGCAGGGCGGACAGGGCGGTGCCCTGAAATATTTGGCTCCCGCACACCCTCCTGGCAACATCAGAAAGACATCTAGTATCCCAGGGTTTAACCCCCTGGCAATTTTGAACGTAGCAGGGCACTAGGTCAGGGCTCAGCAAACTTTCTGTCGAGGGCCCACACACAATAAATATTTTAAGCTCTTGGGCCACAGGCAGTCCTGGCCACAAGTCCTCAACCCTTCTGTTGTAGCACATGTAAACGAACAAGTGTGCCGCGCTCTAATAAAACTTTATTTACAGACACTGAAATGTCAATTTCATATTTTTCACACATCATGAAATATCTTTTGATTTTTTTTCAACCATGTAAACATGCAAAAAGCCTTCTTAGCATGTGGGCTCTACAAAAACAGGCGGTGAGTGTGATTTGACCCCCAAGCCACAGTTTGCCATCCCTGTACTTGGTACTTTCTCCAACACAAGGAGGCACCAAAACCCACCACAGATCCCCAGGTACCTTCACTGTAAACCAGACATTCATCACGGCAATTTTGCCATGTTTTGAATACAGCAACTTTCCGAATATTTCTGCCACTTTCAATTCCTCCAGCTTTGGTCCACCCTTGGTGATCCCTAAACCACAGTCTTTTAGTTCTTTGTGAGAAACAATGAGCGCTGTAGTCCCTCTCTCCTACCACTGCCATGCTGTTAAGGACAGACACAGGGCCTCAGAGGAGTTTCTATCTAAAGCTTTAAAAGATATCACCCTGAAGCTGTTCAGCTGGTAACAAGGAGTAAAAATCATTAAAGAGGTTCCTGTAGGGTCCTCGGGACCATTTCTAGCTCTAAAATGATCACACTCCTCCAGACGCCGGTGTGAGACCGGAC